GCAGCAGCAAAAGTACGAAAGGTTCATATAATGTAACCATGAATACCAGAATGCTACCTGTACAAGATCTAGTTAAGTATATGTACAGTTTTGTGAACTAATAAAATTGTTATTTGTAAACTTAAGTAGTATTTTATCAATCTGTTTTATAATCCATGTTCACCACAAGTGACTGGCTTCTTATGTAAAACATAAGTTTCAAAGCTAGGGATGTAACAGAAATATATTCTGCATGCTTGAAAGATTACTATAACTATGTGACTTTGAACAATACTGGGTGACATAAATATCAAAATGGTTTACAAATTATGTAAGTACACCTAGTAGGCTATACTTCATTAGTTCCAGGTTTACAATTGTGATATCGTGAGATGTTATATTGTGACTTTATTTTAGGCCTGTGTAAGGCGGTAATTAATTCTTTATGTTATTATCATCAAGTGGGTAATGAGTCACAAAACAAATAATCAAAACATTTCAGGTAGGGGCGCCAAAAGTGTCTTTGCCACTGCTGGAAGGTGAAAGCATATTTGTACAAACGTACACAATTGCCTGTAGATCAATCAAACGACTTTCAAAATTAATAGTCAAAAACTGTCACAACTCTATAATTGGCTGCCCTTTTCACTCTTCTTTATTTTCAGTTGGAAGTTCTTAATAATAACTAAAAATGCGATTGTGTGATATTTAGATTAGTCTCTGTTTTTTTTGTTGTTGTTTTTACTAAAATTAAATATGCAGAGATAGTTGTAAAGAGGGATGGGTATTTATATTAAAACAATTTTGAACAAGCAAATCAGCAAATCACGTGACATCTGTAACCGATATAAAGTCATAGTAAAACAGATGTAACAGAACTACAACTTGACATTGTTTGAAGTTCCGTAAACATTTTGACGTCAGCTACATTGACATATTTTGGAAGGAGCACGTAACAACTTTCCAAGACGGGACTGTTCTTTGAGCTTAATAACATTGGAGAACACAAATATGGAGAAACTTGTGACAACCAGGACCATTCAGAAAGAGCCCTGCAGCAAGTCATACCCCAACCGTAGTATAAAAAGTGCAATGTCTTGTAACAGATTAGAATACACAAACACAAAGATTAGTGGCAAAAGTAACAGTACGTAACATCGTCAATAAGGTTATTCTTACGGAAATAAGGTCAAAAGGTACAGATTTCGCAAGATCAGGCTTCCAGTCATACTCCTTGTTCAACTATCTCATACCTCAAGCATATAAAAAAATTGAATGGGTATTCAAGCTATTACATATGAAGACATACCAATCAGCCTATGGACTGTTGAAACGGGCCTGTCACTCTTATGTATTAGATGTATAGTGGAATAGCTTATGTGGTAGTCTTTGCAACAGAAACTGCGTTGTGGAACTATTGACAATATGATAATCATTAAATGGAAAATAACCAGACGTGATAAAATGTAACTTACTCAACCTCTGTACATCTATGATGCATCCTAATTGTCATTCAAATATTGAAAATTGTTTTGTTTGTTTTTTTTAATTAAGCACAAAGCTACACAATGGGCTATCTGTGCTCTGCCCACCATGGGTATCGAAACCAGATTTCTAGCGTTGTAAGTCCGCATACATACCGCTGTGCCACTGGTGGGCAATATAGAAAATAATGATTAACTTAGTATAATCTTATTGACAGAAGAAAAATGAAAGTATAACATATTTTCTGCTTCTAGAATAATTCAAGCATGAAATACAAAGTCTCACAATGTTATTTTGTGAATCAATTTAAAACGATAATGAATCGATAACGAACTTACCAACACTATAGAAAAAGGATAAGCATGACTCTAAGATTATACTGTCCCTTGAAAATGCTTGCATCATTTCATATTTTATAAAAACTTGTTTATGAAATAATTTATTTAAACAATGGAATCCTTCATTACATAACAGTAGACTGCACGTAAGATCAACAATACGATCATCGACTTACACTAAGTCAGCGGAACTCGTCAATAAGAAATAAAATCATATAATACTCCAAGTTTAAAATGAACCATCTCTTAGAAAAAAGTACTTTCGAAGATGGGCTGAATGCATTTCTGTAATCAATAAGTAAAAAACAAGCAAATCAATTCAGCTGAATTGCATAACTGACAATCAGTCTTAAGTCTGTTTTTACTAAAGATTTGCACGACTAATCAAATCACTCCACAAAACATCCTACAACAGAATACTTATACTTCCTCAGTCATCAGCTTTCGTGGTAGGCTCCTGAAGAGGCCAGCTGAAGTGTACGTAGAGTTCCAGTCGAAAATAAGTAACTACTTAATTTCAGTTTAATTTTATTTTTTATTTTTTTTCTTAATTCGATTAGTACCAGACAATGTTTGTTCGAGACTATAAAATGGAGTTTTTTCTATGAAGACAGAAACACTCAACTAAAAAAACACAACATCGGTTTAACTATCCACAGATTGTTTATTCAATTTAATGTCTGCTTCTCTGACCATCCATATCATTGATGGTCTTCACTGTAGCTTATTAACTTTCGTATGTAGCCTCCCAGTGGCTAAGTGGCAAGTCTGTAAATTTATACCACTTAAATAAGGTTTCGATACCCGTGGTAGACAAAAAACAGAAAGCCCATCACGTAGCATCTTGTTACAAACAACAACTTTTGTGGTGTTATAGTCAACTAAGCTATCACAACTGGAATAATGATCTTGTAGGTTGTTAAGGAAATCTAAACTGAAAAATACAATATAAAACTGGATTTTATAATATAATCAGGTGAGGATCTTACCTATTAATAAAAGCTGAGCTGTTTTTAGATCCATCACATAGTGTTATGGTATGTTCCTCTTGCTTCCTGTTGGGAAATATCTTAAAATATTTGTAACCAAACGTGGCAAGAAAATAATTTCAGATTATAGTAAGTTCAGCCTAATGACAAGATAAATATAAAACACAATCAAATTAACATTTATTTAAATAGTTGATTGAAACATAGAATAAAAAGTTGGTGATAATTTTCGGATCATTATATATAAATAGATCAAATTATGGTATACATCCAATAAACTATACTCGGTATTTTAACGTCGTATAGGTTAATAGAATTTCAAGATGAATTACAAAGTATAAAAATTGTCGTTATCTTACCTAACACAAACCATCTTTTTACCCAAACTTACTAAGACGTTGCTTTGTTCACACGAACCAGCACAATCTGGTTGTATCATATTTCCTGTAGTATCCAATCCACATGGTAAACGGTATTTCCCACTGTCTGCAACATGTGAATGTTAGTTGACAGTTACCAGTACCTTCTTAATGATTTAATTACTTAATACCTGTAGAATAATCTGGAAAAAGTTAAAATGTTAATCTATGAATTTCTGGCATCCTAATGCTAAGGTAAGAATCATGTCATAATACGTTAAAATGTACATTAAGATTAAAGACATATCCCTGTCTTGCATGAAAAGTAAAACTTTATATCGTTAATCATTAACCACGTAAATTAACATAAATATTACAATGACATTTATTATTCTTTAAATATAAAATGATAATTACAGGCTAATAGTACTATATTATTACCATTATATAACAGTATCATAACATACCTTTCCTTGTATATTATTATGACAGAAATATAGCGTTAATAATTCATTATTAGGAAAAACTGTTAGCATTAGTATTATCGTTAACATTGCTTTCCGGTCAAAGCAAGCTATGTACTTAGAAAGCGAAACTAAAAATCAGTACAGCTAGTTAAATATACATTAAATACGGTTTACATTAAGGATTGGAATTAATCGTTCCTTCAGTTGGATACTATTTCTTTAATAACACTTCAATTTTTGTGGCAAATAACTTCACTCAATAGGGGGCACTTATTTGGTGGAATGGCATGAGTGGTTGAACGTTATCTACCATTCATGTACAGTGAATTTTTTACATAAAATTCATTCCTAGTGTTCAGATTCTTCAACTGTTTTCAATGTATTATCTTACTTGTATTCAGTGGATCACACAAAAAGGAAAAAACGCCATTACAAGGTTGAACTGAAATTCTGCAACGCTCGAGAAAATGTGAAAACTATTTTTTTTCTTCTTTTCAAAATTTCGTGCAAAGCTACTTGAGGTTTATCTGTACTAGCCGACCCTAATTTAGAAGTTATATGGAAAGCAACTAGTCAACACCACCCACTACTAACCACCAATTCTTGGGTTACTATATTGAAGTAATGGGATTGACTCTCACATGATAATGCCTTCACGGCTAAAAGGAATAGCATGTTCAATTATTAGATTCAAACTCGCGACCATCAGATTGCGAGTCGATCGCTCTAACTACAACACTATATCAGGCTCTGGTAAATTTAATATCAGAAGGAATTTTGAAGCTCCTCTTGGGTGTACCGAAAAACTCTTAAAGTTTAAGGTTATTAGAGGGAGGGAAGTTAAAAAGTGTTCGTCATTGACAGACAAACATACAGACACAAACCGCTTTATAGTTTAGTAGTAACATTAAATGCAGGTGGTTAGGGCACTCGACTCGCAATCTGTGGGTCGCGAGTTCGAATCCCCGTCACACCAAACATGCTAGCTCTTTCAGCCGTAGGGGGGGGGGGCGTTATAATGTGACAACCAATCCCACTATTCGTTGGTAAAAGAGCAGCGCAAGAGTTGGCGGTGGGTGGTGACAACTAGCTGCCGTCCCTCTAGCCTTAAACTGCTAAATTAGGGACGGCTAGCGCAGATAGCT